TGACCTCCCGCATGATGCAGGCCACAAAGCCATCCCAACCCCTTTCCCTTTTAGTTTGTTAGTGCATGTTAATCTACTCCAATTCCAAAGCAGGGCAGATCAAAAAGTGCACTAACAAACTTCTAGTGCGCATCAGCTGGGTCCACATGGACAGTTAGGGTATGTCTACACTGGAATTAAAAACCCATGACTGGCCCATGCCAGCTGACTTGGTTTTTGGGGCTCGGGCTACGGGGCTGTATAATTGCAGGGTAGTCATTTGGGCTTGGGCTGGAGCCCAGGATCTAGGACCCTGCAAGGTGGGAGTATCCCAGAGCTCAGGCTGCCGCCCAAGCCAGAATGTCTACACTGCAATTATACAGCCCTGCAGCCTGAGCCCCACAAGCCTGAGCCAGCTAGCATGGGCCAACCATGGGTGTCTAGTAGTGCCTGGCAGGCTAGATTCACACCCCCGCTTGTAACAAACTAAATGTTTATATAGACAAGCCCTGAAAACAGCAACAGTATGGACAGCAGCTCAAGTGTTATTTCGCAGTATGGCTGCTTTCACTCAAGCTATGCTAACTCAAGAGAAGTAATTCAAGTGTCAATAACTCAAGTTAACTCTGCCATGAAGACATACCCTTTGTATGTATTGGTCAGGTCAATACAGAGTCAGAACTGCCTTTAAAAAATAACATGATTAAAACATGTAATGCCCATTATGCCCTTAGATACACTGACCATTCTTTATTCTGGTTACTGGGTATTATACCCTCTTTTCTGAAGACAAAATTGGGACATTATAGAGAAATATTGTAAATTCTCTCTGATATTAGAAGCTTATTTCTTTTTTTAAAAATCTATTGCAATTCCTACTCATTGTGGCAGTCACCCAAAGCTGTTTAAAAGAGATTAGTTTCCCTCACTTCATGCAAACTTTACAGAATTGCTGCTTCACTAGAAGTTTAAAAGAAAGTATTACGTTTGTTCTTTTTTCCAGGCCTGAGTTGCAGTGATGAATGATTTAATGGGAATTGTTTGTTAATGAATGTTTAGAGTTTCAGTGGAACTGTGTTGAGCTGAAAGGGAGACAGACCCCTTAATCTTCTTCTGGAAACCAGTGAACAACAGAAATCATTTTAGCTAGGTCTCTAATGAAAGGCTTACTGTTCACTGATCAGTCCCACATGTGTTTATGAATGTTACCACTGTGCAAACAGCAGCAGGAGGTACACTTTAGGGAAGTTTAGTATATTGAGCCTCTCAGCAGCAGAGATACATAATAAGGTTTTTCTGGCTTGGCTTCTCTGGTACTATACTGGTTAAGCTGTCCTTCAGTGCTAGGGTGACCAGACCGCAAGTGTGAAAAATCGGGATGGGGGGGTGGGGAGTAATAGGAGTCTATATAAGAAAAAGACCCAAAAATCAGGACTGTCCCTATAAAATCGGGACATCTGGTCACCCTATTCAGTGCGGAAGTGCCCTGCCTTCCGTGCTGCACAGCAGTGCGCATGAGCAGATAGAGGAGATATGACGACTGCCCTCCAGGCAACAGCTAAAACTGATGGTAAATGCTGTGCTGTGGCAGAGGTGGTTTCACTGACAAACATGAAATGACTTAAAATCAACTCTGAAGCTGAGCTCACAGACAAATGCATCGACTGCCTTCTATTCTAAACTACCAGAGTGCAGTGTGACAACACCAGGTACTGTACTTTTTACTTTCTGTGATCTACTGTAGCAAAATTTGTTTGGAAATGTACAGGAAAATATTAATGGTCATTCCAAAATGTTTATTGTTTCCCTCAGTATAAAATAAGTTGATAAAGCTTTTGAAAAATGTTTCTTGTTACAGCGATGACTACCATGCACAAATATTTCTTGCCCATGATAGTGCTGTAAAAAGTGGGAGCAATCAGTTGTATTTTGCATACCGTACATTTTGCATACCAGTTGATTTGGAATTATGAGATGTTTTACTTTGTATGCACTCAGTCTACAATTAAGAACATTTTAAAAAATTCAGTGGCACAAAATCAAATCAAATTATCAAATAAGAGAATTCCATGAGTAATGTTGAACTGTGTACTACAGGCTGGAGTCATCCTTAAGAAAAGGATTATTGTGTCTAAAAATACCTATAGGTTTTGCCTAGGGCTGTGCTATTTTGTTTGAAGCTAGATGCTTCTGAATATTTTGCTATCAAAATATTCAGAAGTTTTAGAGGCACTGTCAGTATAAATCTTGTATAGTTAATAAAATATAAAAGGCCTCTTATTTACAACACCTTAAATTGTTAAAACTGGGGTGAGATCCAATTTCATTTTCATCAGCTTTACAATTTTTTTGTATTTGAATGTAATACAATTTGGATAATAAAAAGTGACTAGTCTGTTTAAGAGCAGTTGTGGGATAGTGATTTGAGCTCATGGGAGTTAGAGGTTAGAGCAGCCCTGAGGTCTCCATACTTGCATAAGGATGCAGCAGCCCCAGCGCCGCTGTTTAGGTAGCCAGGAATTACCAGAGTACAAAGGCACTCTGATCATACTCTACTCTCCTTAATCTGGGGGGAGGGGCGAAGAGACTTGGAGAGTGTGAAGATAAATTAATTTAGTTCACTTTCGTCACAATATTGTCTTTTATTTCATAAGCACCTCCACAGAAAAGTCCACCCAGTCCCATATTCTGAGTAAATGTGAGGAGAGTAAATCCAAAGGTCTGACTTTACGGGCCAATCCAGACCTGAATAGCAGCTAAACACACAGTAACTGCACCTAACTTTCAAAGCTGCTGAGTACTTGCAACTTCCTTTAACTTCGGTGGGTATTAAAGTTGCTTAGTACAGTGACACTCAGACTAAGGCTCGGGAAACCGCAAGTGGCTCTTTAATGTGTCTCCTGCAGCTCTTTGCAGCCCATGATATTAAAACACTGTGTGATTTAATTATTAATCAATCAGGATGCTTTTACTATGTTATTAAATAGTTGTACTGAGGTCTGAGTATCATTGGCTTAGTACCTCTGCCAGTAAGGTCATAAATGTGTGGCTAGAGGAGGGATCTGAAGGCAGCAAGAAATTTTCACTCATCTTAATATGGTTCATTATATACTAATGCCCACACCTAAATCTGGGTCTCTACGGACTAACTGGGGCAGTACATGCAGCTAGGTACTTGTTAACAAAATAATTGCTTTCAGTATTTTTAGTCAACTTTGGGGAAGTTACTGTGAGGTTTTTGTGTGTGTAGGCCACGTATTGGTACCACATCCATTCTAAAACCCTAATTGTAAAAACTGCACTTCTTGTTCTAAGGCAGTGGTGGGCAACCTGCGGCCCACAGGCCACATGAGGCCCATCAGGGTAATCCACTGGTGGGCCACCAGACAGTTTGTTTACATTTGCACGGCCGCCCGCAACTCTCAGTGGCCGTGGTTCACCGTTCCCGGCCAATGGGAGCTGCGGGATGCCCGTGAATCAAGATCATTAGGCTGCTATTTTAATTCTTTGTAACTACAGTATCCTGTTCTAAATGTATATAAACCATGCCAACTGTATAGGAGAGCTTAGAGGAAATGTGTGAAAGTAAAATACCCACATCATAGCTATGGAGAAACAATCTCCAGAGAATGCACCCAGAGGGAAAAGGTGTAAACAACTGAAAAGGTGCAAAAAACAGTACCAATCAGGAAAACGTACATCTCAGAACTTAAGATAAAGAGCCTGAGAGAAAGCAAATTGTCAGCATCACTCAGACAATATCAGCTGACAATCTGTAATAGTGGATGACTAGAAATTCTAACAATTAAGCATATCTTTAGGAAGACTAAAACAAAATATATTGTAAAACGAGCTACCAGACTATTATTCTGCTTTAAGAAGATCTCTTACCGTTCCTTAACTTAGAAAGGGTAGACTTTGTTAATATAATCTTCTAGTACAGTGAAAGAGAATTATTACCCAGTCAATGGGGAAACTGTCTTAAGCTAAAGAGAGGGAGGCAATGGGCTTCTGTCTGAAAATTGCAGGGGAGACAGATAAATCAACTGTTATTTTAATCTCCATCACAAGTTAATATGATGGTGTTGGTGCAATGCCATGGGAGCTAATGATTCCAGTTGCCATTCTTGTGGCATCTGGTTACTTCTGTGGACTTGTATAACTCAGTGAAATGTGTATGTTACATAAGGCCTGGTTCAAATGGCAGTCTTTCCATTGGCTTCAAAAGGCCCTGAATAAGGCCCATATACTAGGATAATATAATTTGTTTCTCCCTTCACTTTCCTCTCATTATACTTGTCTATTTGTCTTTTCTTAGCTTCTCAGAGCATGGATCATGCCATCTTCTCTGTTTAGAAGGCAACTGGAACACTGTGGGTATTACTGGAAGTAATTAATGATAATATCAGTGTATCATGACCTGTTCTTAAAGGTCTATTCCTTTTTGTTGTCATTGGTTTTTTTATTCTGGGCCTGATCCAAAGCTCACTGAAGTGAATGAGCACTACCATTGATTTCAGTGGGGTTTGGATCAGGCTCTTTAATCATTTACATGATTCCATTTTTTTATTTTAATGTGGTTTGTTTTATCTTACAGAATCCTGAAATACCAACCTCTGTGTCATGGTGGAAATCATGTGGCACCTGACAGGCTACTGGTAAGAAAAAAAAAATCACTAGAACAAATGACTGTTTCTTCCTATATATGAGTAAAAGCTCATTAGAGTTGAATAGTGACATAATAAAGTCTACATCAGCATCATAAATATAAAAGTAGTGTGAATATAAAAATATAATAAAATATAACAATAATGTGACTTGTTGGTGTGGTGGTATTTTTATCCTGTTTCTTCTTAATCTTTTCAAATTACCAATGGCAGAAGCTGCCCCAAAACCCCCCCAAAACTCCCAAAATCCCCCAAAGAAACCGATTCCACTTAAATGTACATGTCATGTGTAAACGTCTCAAGGTCAATTTTTCTGGGAAGTTTAGAAACCATCAAAAAAAGCAGTTTAAAATTATGGGACTGGATTTCCCTCTGTTACACCTGTTTAAGGTCAATACATTGGTTGCACTTGTTCTCTGCATGATTTTGAGAATTCTAGGAAAAAACATTTGTTTATTGTAAAGACACTCCCGCCCCTCTATGGTGGGTAAAAGAGCCAGATTGGCATAAAGGAGCCCTAAATAATAATACCTAGTTCTTACATAGGGCTTTTTATCAGTGGATCTCAAAGCACTTTACAAAGGACATATAAGTATCATTATTCCCATTTTACAGTTGGGGAAAGTGATGCCCCGATTCTACCTGTTGGAGCTTGCTCCCACAGAAGCACTGTCAATTACAGCTGTGAGTCTGCTCTTTGAGATCCCCTTGCATAGTGGAAGAAGTGGGCCAGAGTGCACAACACTGTGAACATTCTGGACAATGTAGTGGTCAAGCGGGCAGCCTGGGAGACTGCTGTAACTTAGAGAGGCCTACAGGGCCCCTACCTCTCCCTGGGCTGTGAGTTTTGTGCTGTGCCTCTAAAGGTATGTCTACACTTCGAGCTGGAGTTCAGATTCCCAGCTTGAGGAGACATACCCACACTAGCTCTGATGTAGCTGGTGCATTAAAATAGAATGTAGCCATGGCAGTGCTAGTAGTGGAAGGGGCCAGGTGCCCCGAATACCTGCCTAGGTCTCTGATGGGCACACACTTTGGGCAGCTAGCCACTCTCATGATAGCAGCTACATTCTATTTTTTCGCGTGCTGTCTCCATCAGAGCTAGCACAGGTTTGTCTCCTCTAGCTAGGAATCACACCTACAGCTCAAAGCGTAGACATACCCTTAAAGGCTTAGCGCAGAATTTCATCCACTAGATATCTTGTTGTCTCACAGACCTTCTCTGGAGTAAAAGTATTACCCTAGCAGAAGCTTCTTCATTGGTAATGCTAAAGAAGATTTGATTGACTGGGATTCATTTTCCAAATTAGATGGGTAAAATGATTTACAATATAATACTGCACAAAACTTTTTGGAGTTATGTGACAAGCAGAGCTATGGGTTTCAATATTCCAAGGTAAAATAGTTTTCCTCTCTTTGTCACTTCTTAACTACCAAGTGAAGGCCTATAATTTATCCATGCGTTAAGCTATGGCCAAGAAGTAGTTCCTGCAGAAAGTAGTAGCTGGCTGATCTTTTAATGTTTTCTTCCTTATTTAGATCTTTGTCATTTGAAGAGCTACATGTGTTTCTTGAATTAAAACCCTTTCATATTCTGTGAAATATCTTTCCAAATCCCAGTCAGCCACTACACACAAGTTATTTCCTCATTCCATAAGTATTTTCGACTTTTTGCATAAGCTGTAGGAGCTTTGAACTTCAGTCTGTATGTGTAATGAAGGCAGATAGCCAGACTCCAGCGTTGCTTCAGGGATTGATGCAATACTTTTCAGTACATTTCAGATAAACAGAAGATGGGAGTGAAGTATGTAGGAGGTATAGCCTGTTCTTTCATGATAAAGTTAATGGGCACTAGACAGCCTGACAATTTCGAACCTATTTAATTGATGTGTGTCTTCAGTATGTAGTATCTGATTGTGTGTGAGACAGACACTGGATTTTAATGAAACTCCATATCCAAATCCTTATTCTGAAAGATTTGAATTTTGCAACTTGACTTATGGGACTTTAATGAAACTCCAAATTCAAACACCCCAAACTAAAGTAATATTCACACACATATCTATATCTGGATATAAACTGGTCTAATGTAGACCTTGTAATTTCTGTGCTAAGGCGGGCTTTCCTGGAGTTTTGAATTGATCTAGCATGGATCCTTACAAGCAGGTAATCTGTAAAATCTATATAATTTAGTTAAGTCATTTATCATGATATGTTCAAGAAGGATACTGTGTCATCTTGTAATACATTTTTGTAATGTGCATATTGGTGGTGTAGGTATTACTGTCCAGTCATTCTTTTCAATGCAGCATTTATTATCATTCAGTAATACTAGACACATTGTTAACTCTGGAATAGAAAGAAGTAAGGCAAAATGTCATGGTTATTGTGCAAAGTAAAATCAGACAAATTATTACAGTAGTTCAGTAATTTAAATATTCATGAGAAAAAGGTGGGTAAACGTTGCAGAAAAATTTTATTAGACTAAATAGAAAAATAACCATAATAATTGGCAACATTTTGATTAGTTAGCTCTTGAATTGTCCTTATGATACGAGGGTGATAATTGAAAACTTGTCCCGTGTATTTTAGGTTAGTCCATTAAAAATGTATCATCCACAACTTTAATTCTTTGTAATATGGAATGTTGGATCAACACTTAACAATTATTTTTCTTGGCCAAATATTAAGAACTTTAAACTTGTAAACTGTAGCAGGTTCAGGAACCCATAGAAACTCTATGTTTGACATCCATAAAGCTGATTGAAATACAAAATGTTTTAATTTTTTCAGCATAGTGGCACATTATATATTCATATAGAGGGACAAATTTATACTTAATCAGATCTGTATTCTTCCCCTCACTTATTTACTTCTAGCTAAAGATTTATAGAACTGTTTGTTTGCCCAGAATGCAAAACTTGCATGACGATGCCATAACACCAATTTGGAAACAAAGGGGCATTTTGGCTATGTTAATATTTGTGCTTATTTCTCACAGAAATCCCCAGCTAATAATAGATATGTGGCTTGCTCACAGACTAGCCCTGCTAAACTTTTATTGCGTCCTATAGTATGTTCCTACTGTCTTCTTCCTTGGAGATATTCATTATATGGCTATGAAAAAAATGAAGGAATAAAATTATTGCTCTCTTGTTGACAAATGGAACCAGATTGGCTGTCTTTATCTAATCCTAGGTGTTGAAGACAGTGGAAATCTCTGTTGGTTCACACTATTCAAGCATTAAATAGAAAGTGATGGGAATAAGTGAGTTGCTTTGTAGTGTAGAATAGGTAACAGGGGGTCATTTTTCAGTTTGAATTTCACTGAAAGCTCCTATATAATACAATGTATTTTTTTTTAATTTGTTTTGTCAGTTCTTCATAAAACTTTTCACACTTTGTTCCTTCCAGGGTTAGAATTATCTGATTTAACCTGCCATTTCCTATTGGATGTATTTAAAAATAAAAATAGCCAAATTATATTGATTAGGCCCCCCTTTTTTTTTTACCTTTTCAGGACCTCTCTGACCATCCTGCTAGTTTTATGTCTGTTCCTAAGGCCACCTGGATCACATGCTTCAGTCAGTTACAAGCCCAACATTGTACTGATACTGGCCGATGATCTTGGTATTGGAGATGTAGGCTGCTATGGAAATGATACTATAAGGTAAAGGATTTAAGCATAGTAATCAAAGTTGTTAATTTACTTTTTTATTGTAAGAATGTCATAGTCTGTTCAATTCCTCCTCTGCTGAGACGCTTGCTGGCAGAAGGACGGGATTCCCTGCTGGTGTCACCATCAGTAGGTTAAAGGTACTAACTGGACCATTTCTCTTCCAGCGCTATAAAAGCCTCACAATGACATACTCTGTTAGCAATGGCTATGTTTATTGTCAGTTATTTATCAAGAACAATTCTTTTGTGTTCTTTTGGGCCTGACTTTTAGAAATGCTAAGCAGCCATCACCGCCAGCCAAAGTCACTGGGTGTGGTTGGTGAGCTGATTGCATTTGTATAACTTTAGGCAATTTTTTTTTTCTGACTCTCAGGCCTGGTCTACACTACGAGTTTAGGTCGACTTTAGTAGCGTTAAATCGAATTAAGCCTGGACACGTTCACACGACGAAGCCCTTTCTTTCAACTTAAAGGGCCTTTAAACCGGTTTCTTTACTCCACCTCCGATGACTGGATTAGCGATAAAATCGGCCTTCGCGGGTCAGAATTGGGGTAGTGTGGACGGAATTCGACGTTATTGGCCTCCGGGAGCTATCCCACA